TTACAACACAGACAACATACTCGGACTTCCCTTACATTACAGACAACATACTCTGGCTTCCCTTACAACACAGACAACATACTCTGACTTCCCTTACAACACAACAACATACTCTGGCTTCCCTTACAACACAGACAACATACTCTGACTTCCCTTACAACACAGACAACATATTCTGACTTCCCTTACAACACAGACAACATACACTGACTCCCCTTACAACACAGACAACATACTCTGGCTTCCCTTACAACACAGACAACATACTCTGGCTTCCCTTACAACACAGACAACATACTCTGACTTGCCTTACAACACAGACAACATACAACACAGACAACATACTCTGACTTCCCTTACAACACAGACAACATATTCTGACTTCCCTTACAACACAGACAACATACTCTGACTCCCCTTACAACACAGACAACATACTCTGACTTCCCTTACAACACAGACAACATACTCTGACTTCCCTTACAACACAGACAACATACTCTGACTTCCCTTACAACACAGACAACATACTCCCTTACAACACAGACAACATACTTGACCCTTACAACACAGACAACATACTCTGACTTCCCTTACAACACAGACAACATACTCTGACTTCCCTTACAACACAGACAACATACTCTGACTTCCCTTACAACACAGACAACATACTCTGGCTTCCCTTACAACACAGACAACATACTCTGACTTCCCTTACATCACCGCCACATACTCTGGCTTCCCTTACAACACAGACAACATACTCTGACTTCCCTTACAACACAGACAACATACTCTGACTTCCCTTACAACACAGACAACATACTCTGACTTGCCTTACAACACAGACAACACACTCTGACTTCCCTTACAACACAGACAACATACTCTGACTTCCCTTACAACACAGACAACACACTCTGACTTCCCTTACAACACAGACAACATACTCTGACTTCCCTTACAACACAGACAACATACTCTGGCTTCCCTTACAACACAGACAACATACTTGGTATTGGAGATTAAAGATAAACTATGAGGTTGCTGAGAGTCAATATTTATGTATAGATTAATGTTATTTTATATATTATAGTAGTTTACATACATTATATATACAAGTTTCTGGTCCACTTGTTATACTAAATAAGAATATCTGGAGGTGTTTTATTTTCAGCAAATTGTTCTGTAATAATTGATAACAAAATTGAAGTTTACATAATAAAAAATGTTTTATCTTTTCTGGTTTGTCCATAATTATCAACGTCCGCTATCACAATAGTTAAATCATCACATAAAAACATTTCCAAAAATATGTTGTCAAAAATAGACAGAAAAAAATAGTAATCACACACATGGAAATGACAAACTTTCTTTCCAAGATAAATGATCACACTAGGGATTGGACGCAATCACACCATCTCGTTTAGTAGACTGGAAATAATGTCACAGGTGAGAATAAAGTAGATGAATCGAAATGAAAGCAAGATCAGTTCTCACAAAAAGAAATAGATTCATTATCAAACACGAAAAAAGGGAAAAATACATCATCATATTATTACACAAACAACACTCATTCTCAGGCAAGGAAATTATAATATGATTTCCATGACGGCAACCTGAAATAATCACAGATCGAAAGAAGTATAGATAATCACACATCGAAAGAAGTATAAATAAACACACATCGAAATAAGTATAAATAATTACAGATCGAAATAAGTATAAATAATCACAGATCGAAATAAGTATAAATAATCACACATCGAAATAAGTATAAATAATCACACATAAGTATAAATAATCACACATCGAAATAAGTATAAATAATCACAGATCGAAATAAGTATAAATAATCACACATCGAAATAAGTATAAATAATCACACATCGAAATAAGTATAAATAATCACAGATCGAAATAAGTATAAATAATCACACATCGAAATAAGTATAAATAATCACACATCGAAATAAGTATAAATAATCACACATTGAAATAAGTATAAATAATCACACATCGAAATAAGTATAAATAATCACACATCGAAATAAGTATAAATAATCACACATTGAAATAAGTATAAATAATCACACATTGAAATAAGTATAGATAATCACACATCGAAATAAGTATAAATAATCACACATTGAAATAAGTATAAATAATCACAGATAGAAATAAGTATAAATAATCACACATCGAAATAAGTATAGATAATCACACATCGAAATAAGTATAAATAATCACAGATCGAAAGAAGTATAGATAATCACACATCGAAATAAGTATAAATAATCACACATTGAAATAAGTATAAGTAATCACACATCGAAATAAAGTATAGGTGAACGGAAAAGGATAATTTCTCCTTTATATATAATTCTCTATCATGATAGTATGATACTATGGAAGTCAAAAATTATAATTGGATTGTCTCCCCTAGACAAAATCTGGAAACTCTTCCTAGCATCATTTTTCAAATTTTAAACATGTATTGTTTCAAGTAAAGGTAAACGATTGTGAATATCACAATATTGATTATAAGATACTAAGATCGCTTGTCACATACCTTCGCATTTCAGAAATCACAAAAATCATGAAAAATTGACAAAGGAGGTTACTTTACTAAAATTAGAATTCATCTGTAGTATTAGGGTCGTTACTTTTGTGCCCAAGGCTTTCTTCCCTCAACATTCGAATAAAGCGGAATTGATAGCTTTATGTCACTCATGTGTATTTCGTATAGTTTACTACAGCAAATACACACAACCCTGCACGGACTGTCTACAAAATCCTATCATGCACAGCATCAACCAGATTTTTGAAATTTTGCTAAACTTCCGTTATTTTTAAATCTCAAATGTGAGGAATAAAAAATAACCAGGTTTAGCGATCGGGAAAAAGAGCCGTGTTCAGCTCCGAAGTCTACAAGATGCACTATGAATATTTCAGTAATTTCTACCCACCTTATTTTGCTTATAATTATTCGATAAATACGCCTTTAATTTTTTTTGTACATATATTGAAATATATTAATCCAGTACAGAATCTGACAAAACATGTATTAAAAATTTAAAAAGCCACGAACATAGATATCTACGTCCATGGAGCAATGATGTACAATCATGGACAGAGATACCTACGTTCATGGAACAATGACGAACAATCATGGACATAGATATCTACGTCCATTGAACAATGATGAACAATCATGGACATAGATATCTACGTTCATGGAACAATGATGAACAATCATGGACATAGATATCTACGTTCATGGAACAATGATTTACACTCGCGGAGAGAGATAGCGGTGTCAGTGGAACTATGATGAGACAATTCAGAATCAGCAATAATTACAGGAAAATGGTGTACATGAACTTGAAAAGTCCTTTACCTTAACTAGGGGGCTTATAAAATATCTTGTCCACTATAATCTATGAAAAATGTGAGCTTTAACTCTTTAACACCATGAATTTAATTTTTATATTATAATATGAAAAAGGAGAAAGGTTGGGGTTGGAGGTGGGGTTGAAGGTGAAGGTGTCAATTGATATCTTATACACAGGCTCTCTTTCGCCAGACAAACTACCTGCGTGAACTGGGCTATAATTTGCACGGACTCAAGCACGTGTGTATATATCAAAGTGACACGTGCACCTGGTCATCAACTCCATTTTACTGTTTACTGCTCCCCATGCGACTCAACTTTATCTACAGCAGACCCCTAGACTAACAGATAGTGTCAGAACATGTACTGCCAGGAGACTATATAGTGGCTCACTGGGTGGTACATACAACGGTTCACCAATGGCTCCTCCTCTGATCCAGTTTACAACCTTCCAAACTTCCATATTCTACCTGTAAAGAGCCCCCCTCATCGTATCTCCTCAGGGTACAACAGCTTCAGATTTTTCTCCGAGACAGATTTCACATTTCTACCCAGAGTTCGCATCTCTTCCTTTTCCCCCAGTTCCCTCTAGTGGAGTCTACCTGTAGTGCCCTGACGTCAACGCCGCCACTCCCTGGAGTTCCGTCCCACCATTGCAATCTACTCCGCTCCACGAAATCCTTTCTTCCTGAAATCTACTTCGGTCCCTGAACCCTCCTCTCCTGGCGTCAATGCCGTCCCGTTGAGGTCCTTGCCCCCCCCATAACATCGGGATCTATACCATCCCAATGTTTTATCCGCTTCTGGAGTTCACTACCCCTCTCCGAGTGTATTCTGCTCTCCGATTTTTTTTCTTCAAAACATCCTTGCCATCGACCCCCTTCCCCTCATCACCGACTTCCGAGTCTTAACCACGCTCTGGAGTCACTGTCGGTAGAGGTTTATGCACTGAAAATATATTTGTGGTCTACTTTTTTTCGAGATCTACTCGCAGGTAGATGATACGCAGAAAGTGATATTCTGCTGTAGTATTTACTGTTACTGAGTCTCGTGCACTAGTTAATTACTCTTTCTGCTAATAGGAACCTGAATGGTCAATTATGTATTAAATGCCCGCCCTACGGCGTGTTTTCGTCGTACTGGACACTAACAACGTTAACGGCGCGATAAACCTTGTGGTGCCGTTACAACTTTCACTTTATAGGTCACGTGACGGATTGATATTGACTTGTATGTCACCCGGAAACCGCGTGGATCGATAAATAGGGCATATTGACAATGGAGCAATATTCATAAAGCATTAAAGCACTGGAAGGCGAGACATGTTGAGGGACGATTTTGTGCAAGATATTTCGTGGAGGAAGCGTCATACTATGTTTTTGTAGTAAATAGCGTATATACACATATATACCACACGTTCCGTCAGGTATAATGTGTAAACCCATCACCAGCTGCGAGGACCAATACTGGGACCTTTAATGTGTGAAAATCATATATATCTATACTTTGTTCGGCTTGGTTAAGGATTTAAAAAGGTACACATGCATGCCTGTTTCTTTTTTGAGGGAAACTGAAGAGTGACAACACGTGTTGACGAAATAAGTAGTCGCGATACGTTGGTATAGTATAGAAAAGGTAGATCTAAAGTACTACATCGCGCGTATTGTAGACAAATCCTGCTGCTGATGAGAGCCGACACAACGTGAGTTGTACCGAGGGTGCTGGATGACAATGCAAAGTGACAACCTGGCAATGGTACAGTGGTAAAAATCTCCCCCTACCCGCGGACATACACGGAAACAAATATGTGTATCTCGTTCGTTATCCGGTAGATTTATTAGTAAGTGAGAACACCGACTGTAATACAGAACTTCTAAACAGTGTTGGAGAGAGAAAAAGGACGAACAATTGAATGGATAGTGACAGACTGGTGTTAACAATCGAGGAAAGACCGAGGAATACGGACGTTTAGTATAGAAAGAAGTAGAAAGTCAGAGTATTTGGGATGTACCCAGTATATCGTAGTGGTTGTGTATCACAGCAGCCGTTTGTCCGAGCTTCTTTTCAACTCCGCGACCTCCGTGCATGCGTTACAGACCGAAAAAACCGACGAAGTACAACGGACAGTGTAGATCGAACAGAGCGGCAGTATTTGTTTACATTGTAGAGGTTTGTATCATAACATATATATATACCCGGCTCTGAATACCGTACATTTGATGACAGTCGACTGTGTATTTGACCAGGTATAGATCTAGAGGAATTTGACCAAATACAGACAAGCCTTATCACCGGTTAGCGACATACGCTAGATTTAAACACGGCTGTTTATTCAGCAATCTACACAGTTTAAGGACTGAAGAGGGCTATAAAATACAATATTTGTAAACGCTTTACCCCGGCGTGTGATATTGGTTCGGCACTCTACTGCATACGCAGGGATCATCGACACAACATATTGATTATCGGTTATTTCTGGGACTGCGGTCAAAGTCCTCATCACTATGTCCTAACCTCGGCCCGACGATGTTTTGGTGTGTTGGACACTGGTCACTGTGCTGAGGTTGACTAGGATTATATATGGCGATATTTCACTGTTCAGTAGGACGTGTTTGATAAAGATTTTTTTACCTGTACTCTTACCTGCATTCCGTAATTACTTGGGTATAAGTGTGTATTTCGTGGCTGTATAGGTTGTATGGAAATGTCTACGGGAAATATCACTGCCCACCTTACCCCTCCATACCTCCTTCCCAAAATGAGGATGGAACAGGAAAGGGTTCTGGAAGAAAATTTCCGGAAGAATCGCAACCCCACCGACTTGGATGTAACACTGATTGCAGCGGAGGCTGGCCTGATGGACGATGACGTCAAGGTATCGTATATTTTCAAATCTTTTCAATCTCGTGTCCGCCGTCGGCGGGACGTTCGCCATATGTTTTTTAATTACAGATTTTGTACGAATAGTTTTCCTTGTGTATATTCATTACTTAAAGTAACTGCCACGTGCATGACTTTCGTTATACGTGACCATGATGTCCTGCTCTCGATACAGGAATATTTCCATCCTTGGAATATGTTGTAACAATAACTAATGCTGATTTACGTGTCAAATTGTGGACTGTTAAAAGAGTTCAGCATACCTGTGATCGTCTGTAGAGTAGGTGTACCTGCTATAGTCACTACGGTAATCATGTGTCCTATTGTATACTTTATTTCAATAATGATTTTCACTATTGTAATAAACGTCAGGGCTACCATGATTGTAAAGTGCAAAATGATCTCTTCTTTCGTCTTCGAAAGACATATGTGACCTAGCTTGTCTGAAACCATTCCAGTTTTGTATTTCCGTATGTTTTACTAGAACCTTTAAATTTTGTCACAAGAAAGTCCAAGGATGAAAATGGATTGATTTAAAAAGCGATTCCAATCCACATATGATGACGATGGTAGTAAACTGGCAGAACTTGTACTATTATAGAAAGAAAGAAAAACACGAAAATGAAATATCAAACAAAATTGGACTGTTGGCGACTAGGCAATATTTCATAAACTAATTAGCTATATATAGGCTGATGATAAATCGATATGATTAGGATTAATTAATAGAGTCTGACCGAGTCGTCTGACTGCGGGCCAGCTGCCAGTTGTTCGCAATCGTCACACGAATTCCATACTTCTAATTAGCTGACGATTTCCTCGCCCTCTGGGTTCATTTCATTATTTCATTTTTCTCTTTTTGGTAATTAATTCCTACGACACAGAAGTCATGGATTTATTCTTCTCTTTAATTTACATTAATTATCACAGGTAAAATTATCTTGACATATGCTAGCCATCGTTGTACGCACAAGTCGACTTTGTGTACAGCTCGTCGACGTTGAGGACACGACGTTCCGATATTTGCTACAGGACTCGAAATCTTGTACACTGGATCCACAGTCTTTGTAGACAAAACCTATCGCCGTTGTTGTAGGCAACACACAGCAACGTTGCAGACATGATCGACCGTCATTGTAGACACGACCTACCGTCATTGTAGACATGATCCGCCGTCACTGTAGACAAGACCGACCTTCATTGTAGACACGACCTACCGTCATTGTAGACATGATCCGCCGTCATTGTAGACAAGACCGACCTTCATTGTAGACACGACCTACCGTCATTGTAGACACGACCTATCATCATTGTAGACACTACCGATCGTCATTGCAGACATTAACTGTCTATGTAAACCGTAGCCCGCCGTCGTTGTGTAGCTTTTCAAAATTTTACAGCCCGTAGATGTATATCCCGCCGGCTTTGTATAGCCTGTCGACATTGTATAGTCTAGTCTGTCGACATTGTATAGTCTGTCGACATTGTATGTCCTGTCGACGTTGTATGTCCTGTCGACATTCTATAGTCTGTCGACAATGTATAATCTAGTCTGTCGACATTGAATATCCCGCCGACTTTGTAAAGCCTGTCGACGTTGTTTAGCTCGCCGAAGTTGTATGTCCTGTCGACAATGTTTAGTCTGTCGACATTGTATTGCCTGTCGACATTGTATAGTCTGTCGACGTTGTATGTCCTGTCGACATTGTATAGTCTGTCGACAATGTATAGTCTAGTCTGTCGACATTGTATAGTCTGTCGATGTTGTATGTCCTGTCGACTTTGTAAAGCCTGTCGACGTTGTATAGTCTGTCGACATTGTAAAGCCTGTCGACGTTGTTTAGCTCGTCGACAGTTGTATGTCCTGTCGACAATGTTTAGTCTGTCGACATTGTATTGCCTGTCGACATTGTATAGTCTGTCGACGTTGTATGTCCTGTTGACATTGTATAGTCTGTAGACAATGTATAGTCTAGTCTGTCGACATTGTATAGTCTGTCGACGTTGTATGTCCTGTCGACATTGTATAGTCTGTCGACAATGTATAGTCTAGTCTGTCGACATTGTATAGTCTAGTCTGTCGACATTGTATAGTCTGTCGACGTTGTATAGTCTGTCGACATTGTATAGTCTAGTCTGTCGACATTGTATAGTCTGTCGACGTTGTATGGCCTGTCGACGTTGTATAGTCTGTCGACGTTGTATGGCCTGTCGACGTTGTATAGTCTGTCGACGTTGTATAGTCTGTCGACGTTGTATAGTCTGTCGATGTTGTATGTCCTGTCGACATTCTATAGTCTGTCGACAATGTATAGTCTAGTCTGTCGACATTGTATAGTCTGTCGACATTTTATAGTCTGTCGACTTTGTAAAGCCTGTCGACGTTGTATAGTCTGTCGACATTGTATAGTCTAGTCTGTCGACATTGTATAGTCTGTCGACGTTGTATGGCCTGTCGACGTTGTATAGTCTGTCGACGTTGTATGGCCTGTCGACGTTGTATAGTCTGTCGACATTGTATAGTCTAGTCTGTCGACATTGTATAGTCTGTCGACGTTGTATAGTCTGTCGACATTGTATAGTCTAGTCTGTCGACATTGTATAGTCTGTCGACGTTGTATGGCCTGTTGACGTTGTATAGTCTGTCGACGTTGTATAGTCTGTCGACATTGTATAGTCTAGTCTGTCGACATTGTATAGTCTGTCGACGTTGTATGGCCTGTCGACGTTGTATAGTCTGTCGACGTTGTATGGCCTGTCGACATTGTATAGTCTGTCGACGTTGTATGGCCTGTCGACGTTGTATAGTCTGTCGACGTTGTATAGTCTGTCGACATTGTATAGTCTAGTCTGTCGACATTGTATAGTCTGTCGACGTTGTATGGCCTGTCGACGTTGTATAGTCTGTCGACGTTGTATAGTCTGTCGACATTGTATAGTCTAGTCTGTCGACATTGTATAGTCTGTCGACGTTGTATGGCCTGTCGACGTTGTATGGCCTGTCGACGTTGTATAGTCTAGTCTGTCGACGTTGTATAGTCTGTCGACGTTGTATGGCCTGTCGACGTTGTATAGTCTGTCGACGTTGTATGGCCTGTCGACGTTGTATGGCCTGTCGACGTTGTATGTCGACGTTGTATAGTCTGTCGACGTTGTATGGCCTGTCGACGTTGTATGGTCTGTCGACGTTGTATAGTCTGTCGACATTGTATAGTCTGTCGACGTTGTATAGTCTGTCGACGTTGTATGGCCTGTCGACGTTGTATGGTCTGTCGACGTTGTATAGTCTGTCGACGTTGTATGGCCTGTCGACGTTGTATGGTCTGTCGACGTTGTATAGTCTGTCGACGTTGTATAGTCTGTCGACGTTGTATGGCCTGTCGACGTTGTATGGCCTGTCGACGTTGTATGGCCTGTCGACGTTGTATGGCCTGTCGACGTTGTATAGTCTGTCGACGTTGTATGGCCTGTCGACGTTGTATAGTCTGTCGACGTTGTATAGTCTGTCGACGTTGTATGGCCTGTCGACGTTGTATGGTCTGTCGACGTTGTATGGCCTGTCGACGTTGTATAGTCTAGTCTGTCGACGTTGTATAGTCTGTCGACGTTGTATAGTCTGTCGACGTTGTATGGCCTGTCGACGTTGTATAGTCTGTCGACGTTGTATGGTCTGTCGACGTTGTATGGCCTGTCGACGTTGTATGGCCTGTCGACGTTGTATAGTCTGTCGACGTTGTATGGCCTGTCGACGTTGTATAGTCTAGTCTGTCGACGTTGTATAGTCTGTCGACGTTGTATGGCCTGTCGACGTTGTATAGTCTGTCGACGTTGTATGGCCTGTCGACGTTGTATAGTCTGTCGACGTTGTATGGCCTGTCGACGTTGTATGGCCTGTCGACGTTGTATGTCCTGTCGACGTTGTATAGTCTAGTCTGTCGACGTTGTATAGTCTAGTCTGTCGACATTGTATAGTCTGTCGACATTGTATAGTCTGTCGACGTTGTATGTCCTGTCGACGTTGTATAGTCTGTCGACATTCTATAGTCTGTCGACAATGTATAGTCTAGTCTGTCGACATTGTATAGTCTGTCGACGTTGTATGTCCTGTCGACGTTGTATAGTCTGTCGACGTTGTATGGCCTGTCGACGTTGTATGGCCTGTCGACGTTGTATAGTCTAGTCTGTCGACGTTGTATAGTCTGTCGACGTTGTATGGCCTGTCGACGTTGTATGGCCTGTCGACGTTGTATAGTCTGTCGACGTTGTATGGCCTGTCGACGTTGTATAGTCTGTCGACGTTGTATGGCCTGTCGACGTTGTATGGCCTGTCGACGTTGTATGGCCTGTCGACGTTGTATAGTCTGTCGACGTTGTATGGCCTGTCGACGTTGTATGGCCTGTCGACGTTGTATGTCCTGTCGACGTTGTATAGCCTGTCGACGTTGTATGGCCTGTCGACGTTGTATGGCCTGTCGACGTTGTATGGCCTGTCGACGTTGTATGTCCTGTCGACGTTGTATAGCCTGTCGACGTTGTATAGTCTGTCGACGTTGTATGGCCTGTCGACGTTGTATAGCCTGTCGACGTTGTATAGTCTGTCGACGTTGTATGGCCTGTCGACGTTGTATGGCCTGTCGACGTTGTATGTCCTGTCGACGTTGTATAGCCTGTCGACGTTGTATGTCCTGTCGACGTTGTATGGCCTGTCGACATTGTATAGTCTGTCGACGTTGTATAGTCTGTCGACGTTGTATAGTCTGTCGACTGCTGTACAAGATATACAAGAAACCCTAATTATAATGTTTGATTTTTTCACTCCTGGGTAAATATACGATCCCTGTAAATTGTAGCGAGTACATCAGTTGTCGAGCGTGTTCCGTTTTATTGTATAATAGTCGTACCAGCATGTAGTGTTTACCTTTCATTGTTTGTGATTGTGTACCCTTGGCACTATTTACCATCCGTATAATCGTGCTTTCACGAGTATATTTACAC